GGATCCACACCAAGCATTTGGCATTTTCAAACATTCCAGGCAGAAATATGAAGAAGTAGGCTAAACTCGCCACCGCACGCATTAAAACAAAGATCAAATGAAAACATTGTCCAGATTCTAGCAAATCACATTTTTGAATCCAGATTTATCAAAGCACATTTTTTCATCTCATAAAAGGACAAAAACACCAGAGGAGTTGCTAAACGTAACATCTTGTGACCAGAAATAAAATTGTGCGGGATGGGACACATTGCCAGAAAGTGCAACTTTTGGGTAAGTTTGGTCAGAATCCTGTCTAGTGAGGCTAAGAGATGCTCTTAGACTCGGAAGCTTTATGTTGATCAATGAAGCAAAGGAAATGATTTACAGTACGACTTAATTTTACTCAATTTTGAGATGCATCAAGGAGATTACAATAAAGCATATTAAGTGTTAATAAACTAAGATAAACACGAGCAGCTAGAGTCCATCGACATTAGACAACCATAGCGAGGTATTACGATTTGTGCAACAAAGGATTTAAGAGCTTATCCTCGATTAAAATCAAATAGCGAGATAGCTAAACAAGAGATTTAGTCGAAATATCATCTATTTCACTCATTTTCAGATCTGTTTGAGAATTCCACAGGTGTATTGTGGTATTCTAACTAGGAGTATCAGGCTAGTTCTGTTTTTTACATGTAACCATGGCTGTACTGACACGATGTGTATTTAGGATTAGCCAGGAAACGGGCAGCCCACCGTTGGACGAGACCAGGTGCTCAGAAATGTGGATGGATCGAATGAAGAATAAGTTCAGGATGCGCAAGGCCAAAAGGTCATGGAAGCGCGCTCCACCAACTGTTGGTGACCCAGCACTGATGGCGAGGTCAAGCACGTGGACGCTGTACGACGCCATTACCCAGAAGCGAGTACTCTAGATAACGCATGAATAAGTGGAGCAAGGAGTGTTAAGCCAGGAAGACAGCGATGATTTATTGGATGATCACAGGCCTAAAGCCAGCAACTCCACATTCCCTTCACGCCAGTCCCACTCTAGACATGGAACGCCGACGTCTGCTCCTCTTGCCCTTGCTTGTAGGATGTAGTCCGTTGAGCTTGTAGAAAGCAGACCTTCTGGATCCAGTCCGCGAGAATAGCAAGTCCTCCATCTAGCTGTAGACCGTGGCAATTCTCCCCGACTGACCCTCGGCGCCCTCGCCGAGCCGAGCCGCTCCGCCCGACGACGGTCGCATGGTCTTATCAGAGGACACCTCTGGAATGCGCCGACGTCCCCAGTTGCGAGTTGAGCAGGCGCTCGTACAGCTCGTCTTCCCTCTCCCTCCAATGCTCTGTGTCCAGCCGGTGTCTCGCGTCACCGATCTGCCGGAGCTGCACGCGCGCGATGCGTCGGATGGCAGGGTCAGTCGAGTTCAGCATCTGCCATCCGTGCGCCACTTGTAGCGCCGCGTGCATCTCCGTCAGCGGCAGCAGGCCGAGGCCTCCGCGCGACACCGGCGCGTAGAAGAAGTCGGTGGTGGCCGTGGTCGGTAGCCGCAGGAGGTGGCGGAGGCCGCGCGCGAGGTGCCGGTCGAAGCCTTGGAGCTGCTGCTGGAAGGGGCGAAGGTGGCGAAGGGCGTACTCCACCCGAGGGTAGAGGTAAACCTTCACCGCCTTCACCACCTGCCAGGGTGCCAAGCCGGACTGTAGCAGCGCCGTCGCGTCGTCCTTGAGCTGCTTGAGCGCGGGTGCCAGTTCAACGCGTCGGCGCACGTGGTCGAACCCATCGCCGATCCCCAGGTACGCGTACGACTGTGTCATCGTCAAGGAGGGGATCGGCGAGGCGTCCAGCTGCAGTCCGAGGCCGACGGTCTTCAACACTCTACGGTTGTCGCGCTGGACCGACATGGTGCTGCACTTGGCCGGGTTCGCCTCGATGCCGGTCCAGCGCAGGAAGTCCGCCACGAGCGCGTGCTGCCGCTTGACGCCGTCCACGGTGTCGCTGAAGATCTTGAGGTCGTCGGCGTACGCCGAGGCACCGGGACGGTCGTCAGCGGACAGCTTCACGCCCGTGTCGGGCAGCTCCTTGAGCGCGAAGGGTAGCGGGCTGATAGCAGCGGTGAAGAGGTGGGGGCTTAGCGGACACCCTTGAATCACCCCCACCCGCTTGCGCGATCGGTGCCGTGGTGCCGTCCGCCGCGTTGCCGACCATGAAGGCGGCGTCGTCGTAGAGGCCGCGGCAGCACGCGATGAAGTCGGCTGGCGCACCCAGTCGGCTGAGCGCTTCCCACAGCAAGTCGTGTGGCACGCTCCCGAAGGCGTTCTTCAGGTCGTACCACATGACATGCAGCTCCCGGCGCTTGCGGCGGGCTTGGTCCACCATCGTGGCTGCGAGGAAGTTGTGCTCCCCGCAGCCGTTCACCGCTCGGAAACCCTTCTGCGCGTCCGCGTGTCGGCCGTTGGCGTCGAGCCAGCGGGTGAATCTTCGCGCGAGGACACCGGCGTACAACTTGTACACCGCTTGCTGGAGGCAGATGGGCCTCCAGTTCGCTGGGTCCTCGCGCGGCCCCTTCTTGTAGATCAGGCGCACCACGCCGAGCTTCCAGATCTGCGGCACCCTCTTGTAGCGCCAGCAGCAGGTGAAGGCCGCGTGGAGCACCGCCAGCAGCTGCGGTGTGAACTGCTTGTAGACGTCGTACCCCACGCCGTCCAGGCCTGGGCTTGAAGGTCCACGCGCGCGGTGAAGCTGGTCTTCAATCTCGTCCACTGTCGACGGTTCCTTCAGCAGCTCGGCGGCAGTGGCAGCAGCGGGCAGGCGGGCGAGGGCGGTGCGGAACTGGGCGCCCACTGGCGCCATCGGAGTGAAGCTCGCGGTTGGCGTGTTCACCGCTGTGAAGTGCTCCCATAGCTGGTCGGCCAGTATGGGGCACTTGCCGTCGTCACCGGCTCCTGACGCTGGAGCCGCCGCCTGGGTCGCTGCAGCCGGTGCTGCGTCCGTCGTCGCTGCTGTCCTCGCCGCTCGAGCCTTCGCCAGGATGTCGTCGACGCAGGCCTTCTCGGCCGTGTCGAAGCGGTGGCGGAGACGCTGCTGGTCGATGGCCGCGGACACGCGGCCGACCCGCCGCCGGGCTCTGCTGACCGCCGTGCGGTCCCCGGGCGCCGCACTCACCACCGCGTGAAGGTCGTCGAGTGCCTCGTCGAGGCGGTGCTCGCGGTGGTGGCGCGTCACCCGGGGAGGTCGCTGGCGCCGTCGACGCTTGGCCGCGCTGGAGCGTCCGCCGCGGCGACGGTGGCGTCTGCCGTCCTGTTGGTAGGCTGGACCGTCGACGCGCTGCTGGCCGTCCTGCTGCCGG